ACATGATGTAGATAAAGATATAGGTCTAAGCAAGAGTAAATATATTTGTTTATTGGGACTGAAAGTTGTGCTATTGCTGTAGGCCAATCTATTCACTATGATTGATCATCTTGTTTGTCACTGAGCTTCTTACCAGCCAAGATAAAACAGGGAAGAGGGTAAAAGTTACATAACAAAAATGTTCATAGCTGTCTTTGAATAACAAAATGGACAATTTTCTCAACCATAATTTTACAGCACATGCAGAACTAACTTTATCACACAACAAATCTTGATTAAAGCTGAAGTCATAGCATTAAGACACATTTAGGGTGACAGTTCTGTGAAGCTCCTGAAGGGCCATTGGTTTTAACATTCACTTGGATATGGCATCATAACATCCAGAGGAGTACATATGTCCCTGTTCCTTATGTTCTCTACCCTAGGTACAATTTCTTTGGCTAGGTTTTTCAGCAGGAATTCTTTAACAAATCATCTAAGATAATACCTCCATATAAGGGCCCAGATGCTGGTCTTCGATATCATCAGCAGATGGATAGCTTGAGAGAAGTGCTCATTCATGCTCCATGTCTATATGTACATTTCTTTATTTATTCATTTATTTTTTCCCATTTGTTCTTCTTTCCATCCACCCATTTGTAAAACCCTCTCCTAATTTTGGGAAGCAGAATGAGAGGACGTAGTAGTTGACAAATTACTTATTTAGATGATTTTAGATGGCTGCCAGTTAGAGTCTTCCATCCTCCATCCCCTTAAATGTCAGTGTCCTCACCTGGAGGTGAGATGCACGGGCCTCATTGTTCATCAGGAAAGCTGTCAGTGACACATGGACAGGTGAGGTATGGGAAAGAAATCAGAAAGGCCACCTAGGGTGTGCCCGAGTAGCTAAATGGGTTTACAAACTGAGAGCCATGCTAAAAAAAAAAAAAAAAAAAAAAAAGGTGTATGGAGCCCCTTTCATAAAGGACAACAACCCACCCCTTGTTCCATTCTCAGTTACCCATTTGTATTCGTGACCATGCCTGTTTGCACAACCAGTTCTATGGGCACAAGTCAATTTATTTTTGTTTTTTGGCACCATGCTTTTCAGTTGCCAAGAAACACGTCAATTGCTTAATGGCTCATCTAATCCACCCTGTTGATTCTTTGCAATATGATCTATTTCTTTGTCCTTGGTTAAATCAGTCACATGATTAGATTAGGCCTGCGATTCTGCTCTTACCATCTTTTGCACAGGTTCACACACATCCACTCACACACATTCACTCACATGGATATAGCTTTGGGGCCCCCAAAACTTTAGAAGGACAGAAAACTGGTCTACAGAAATAAAAAAGATCCTATCTACCTTGTGGAGTTATTATGAGAGTTAGGGATAGTGTAGGTGAAGATCTTGAAGTTGAGTGTATCCTGCTTGAGGTGGTTTTTGTCATTCATAATTCCAGAGTATCAGAATAAGTTATAGCTATAAAATATGTGAGAAACAAAATCAAGTCAAATTTGGACTGTCCTCAAGACAGTTCTTTTGAAAAACTGCATGCCCAAACTACGTTCTCTTTGCTAATTAAACTGGTGTACAGTGGAAAAAATATCCCAGGTTTCCCCAGGAAGGGCCGCTCATGTAAGTGGTCCATGCAGGTGTGTGGGGAAGGGGTTCTACCTGGTGTTCCTGGCTCTGCTGGACCAGGGAAGGTTGTTAAGAGCAGAAGGACTGGATCCTGTGGCCCCAGCCACACAGGAGAGGGACAAGGGAGGAATATTCCGACTCCCTACCCCAGATCTGACTATCTGGTCCCCAAGCCTTGTGGGAGGATCCATTCTGTCTTCAGTGAGTTGGGGGTAGATTACATCTGGCAGAATTTCCTGTTGTTGAGTAGAGAAAAACTTGGAGAAGCAAACAAACAAAATTGCTTCTTGAGCATTGTAAGCCCCTAGAGTTTTTTTAAGGCAGAGGACATTTTGATGAATTGTCAGATAACCACGGACATATAAGTGGCAATGCTTGGCTGAGATTGTGGCTCAATGGTAAAGCACTTGCCTTGCATGTGTGAGGCACTGGGTTCGATCCTCAGCACCACATATAAATGAATTAAATAAAGGTATTGTGTCCACCTACAATTAAAAAAATATATATTTTTTAAAAAAAGATGCATAGACCTAAACTCAAGAAGGAAGGTGTTGGCAGCAGAGTTGCAAGAAAACCACCTTCTCAACCCCAGGAATTTGAAAACTCAAGGGGGCAAATCCAGATGAGGGCACGTGACAAAATTGCACCAGGAGGGAGAGTGGCTCCTGGAATCACAGTCCCACTACAGTCCTAAGACAGAACTGCCCTCCATCCATCCCATGTTTGCCAACAACATGCAACCAAAACCTCAGAGTGATAGAATAGAACTGAGGCACTCAAATTCCTCCGATCCCTGCTCTTATTCAGAACATCACAAAACAGAAGACAGAGAACCAAGATGTCTAGCACCCAAACCCCTGGGCCCATTCTGCTTTTAAGGCTGGATTTTCAATGATTAATGACTCACAAATTAGAAATGACAAACAATAAAGGATAGGAAAATGTTACACTGTCTTCCAGTTCTTCTAGAATGCTAAAAGGCAATCCCCCTAATAGGCTCTAATTAAGTATAATTAACTGCTTACTGTGTGCCAGGTGGTCTGCTGGGCACGTCCAAATCAGAAAAGCACCATGTCCCCAGCTCCTCTAGGGGACTCAGTCTGGTGGGAAAGTCAGAGGGCATGGAGAAATCTTCTGTAGCACCAGGCAGTGATTGCCAGTGTGAGGCGATGGACCAGCCGGCCAGACTCAGCAGGCCCCTGCACCTGGAATAAAGGAGTTGGGAATCTGTCTTCTCCTGTGTTTCATTGCGTTGATTTCAGTAGGATAAATCTCAACTGGATGTGCAATGCTTCCAGACAGTAATGGCTTTTTAGGCATCAAGAGAGATGCAAGTGGGGAGGGGACATTCTTTCCCTCTTGATTCTTTGATCCAAGGGACCAAGGGCCATGATGCTTTTTTCTCCAGGGACTTCATGCTCATGACATTAGATAGCTCTGTGAATGGGGCATATGCACCTTACACTCATGCACATGGAGTAAAAGCTGGGGTGCTGCCCACCCCTGCCTCCTATAGGACCCCTGCCCTACTCTGTCCCCTAGCCAGTGGTATCTCTAAGGCCAAAGGGCCTTCCTGGACACTGCCAATGTTATGATGAGACTCTTTTCCTGATCACCTGTGCTCATCCTTGACATGGCCTCTGCTTTTCTCGTGATAACTGTACACAGCTCAGCCTCCTCTCTAGGGATAAGCCACTGGCCTTAAAGGAATGTCCCAAGGTTGCTTTGTGGCTCATCATCCTTCCTCTCTCTGTGACCCTCCCATAACCTTCCACACCTCATGTGAAAAAAAAAAATCTTCTTCCCTAAATCTCCCTGAGTGTGGAAGCATTGTTATTTAAAGGAATGAGCTCCAACTATGGGGGCAGATAAGCATCTGTTTAAGGTAAGGCTTGATCACCTGCCAGTTGTGTCATTCTGGGTAGATAACTTGACCTCTCTGAGTTTCTGCTTCTTCTTCGGTAAAATAGGATTGATGTGAACATTACAGGGCGACATGGCCAAAGCATCATGGCTTATCACAGGGGGCTGCAACCTTTAATACACTCCCACCTTCAGTTTTTGGTAAACATGTAGCTTGCACTAACATAAAGTTAATTTTGTTCATCAGTTGCCATTTTATGCATGTGTCTTATGAGCCAGCACTTGGCTGATCACGTTTAACAGGTACTGTCTCACTGAATCCTCCTGTGAGGTAGCTATTATTTTCAAGATTAAATAACTGAGGTTGGGGATGAGGAATGTGGACAGGGTTCTCTGAGGAGTCTTCCAGCTCCCTCCATCATCTCTCACATTTGCTCTGGGATTATTTGCTTATCTCACTACATCTGGTCTATCATACATATGTCCTCAGCACCAGCAGGCAGTGTGGGTTGGGGGTTGGGGATCAGGATGCACAGGAAGGAAGTGCATGGCCCCCTCCTCCAGGGGCTTGCAGTCTAGTTGGTGGAAAGGGAAAGGGAGAGAGAAAGAACTGCATGCACTTGGTTCTATTTCTGCTGGAGCCTCCTGTCCTCAGCACCCAGCCCAGGGCTGTGCCTGGCAAGCTGCTCATGCCAGTCACCTCTGCGGACAGCAGAAGGCAGCAAAGACTTGCAGAGAAGGAAATTATTCAGGGGCAGAACTAGGTCCTTGCATCTTGAGGTGGGATGTGTAGCTCTATCTGGGGCACTTCCAGAACACTCGTTGCATGGTGGGTCTACCTGTCAATGAGGGCTATTTCTCTAGGTACAAATCTTTAAGTTATGACGAATGCAGGAAAAGTGAAAAGTCACAACCCTGGCTCTCAGGAGTACAGAGTCCAGGAAAGCCACGAATGTCAGGAAGAAACTGTACAAAGCTCCAGGAATTAAAGGAAATGGGCCGAAAGTCCAGGGAGAACCTAAAGGAGCCTTTTCAAAATTAGGGGCATGATGAATAGAAGGGAGAACGAAGAGGGGGCTGGCCTGAGGGCAAAACTGATACCTGACTATATCTGCAAGAGTCTGGTAGGTCTGTTAAGTGACCTGGAGGATCCTAGTACAGAGGCAAGTGATGGTTTGAAGGACTGTCACATGGGCTCTGGGCCTGAATTTGAGTCCTAACAGTTAGTGATGGCTGCCCAGCCATGGATACGGCTCAGCCTCTGTCTCCTGTCCTTGGCAGTGAGATACCTACCATGAGGGTCGTGGTGAGAAAGGGAGTCTGCTTCAGGACAACATCTGCCATTGCTGGAGCTGGGGATCTGGTCAGGTTTGGTTTTTCTCTCACGTGGCCTGACCCTGTTCTATTAGGAAGTATGTAGATTTCTTCTGGAGGAAAAAAAAAACACAATGAGCTAACTTTATATTCTTTTCTTTTATTGAAAAAGTTAAACAATCCTTTTCAAGTGGGCACCTCACATTTCTCATGGTAAACAAGGCTCATAGAAGCCCATCAACTTGCTCCCATCCCACATCCACCAGAAGTTGAGCCTCCAGAGGCTGCAATGCAGCAGGAGACCCGGGGTTTGCTCCTGAGTATGCCTGAGAAGCACCTGCACTCTGTGAGGGCAGCGTCTCTGGACCTGCCCAGAGGAAGTCAGGTGGAACAGGGCCAGGATGGGGGCTGGCACTTCAAGGTGCTGGAATTCTCCAGGTCTTCTGACATAGGTGGCCCGAGTCCATTATGAGATCGTTGGCCCTAAACCCCACAGGCTCCTTTCCCTCTCACGACACAGAGCATCCTTCACAATGCTGTCTTTATCTGCCCTGCTCAAGCCTCTGACCCAGGCGCAGTCTAGGCACAGTCTGCTCTGGCCACTAGACTGTGCCAGACTGTCTGCTAGACAGTCACTGCCATGGGCAGCCCACAGAGGAGGCCCAAGCACATGAACATCCTGCACTTCGAGAGATGACCACTTGGAGGGCTGGTGACGATGCAGGTGCCCTGGGCCTTGCTCTCCTCTCCTCTCCCTCCCCTGTGGCTGGGTGCATGAGGCAATGGGAGCCTGTGTCCCCTGCTGCCCTGGAACTTCTCTGCTGAGTCTGACTTTCTCTGTGCTTTCAGCTCTGGGGCTTTAATCTCCCTCTCTCCTTTGGGTCTCCCAGTCTCTTCCCCCTGGAGCTCTCTCACGCTTTCTCCCAACATCCTATCTGATCTCACCCCACTGAGCTCCCCAGCATCCCGCCTGCCAGAATGGAGCTGGGAGGCAGTGACTAATGTGCTTGGAGGTGAGTCATCCGCTAAATATAAAATCCCACTCACATCCCTGGATGCAAAAGATTCCAAGGCTCCGCATCCTTCCCCCAACTCCATCTTTCCTCAGGGGGCCGAGAGTTTACTCGCGAACAGAAAATAAATAAATACCACGGAGCAGCGACAGCAGCAGCATCGTTGCCCTTCAGCTCTCCCTCTTGCAGGTCTCCCCAGGCAGCAAATTCTCCAGTCCCTGGTTTCTCCAGCTGTCCTGGGAGGAAGCAGCAGAGTGAGAAAGACAGTGACCCCTAAGCCCTGCGGAGTGAGTAAGGAGGCAAGATTCGTCTTCAGGATTTCCCCTTCTCCCCTTTTTGATCAGGTGACCCCAAACTGCCCATTCTCCTGTGGAGGGAACCAACCCTTTAAACACGCTTATATAAGCAGGCACCAGGCAGCACTTGAACATGGATGGTGGGATGATGGGTTTCAGGTGCAGACCCTACTTGTGGACAGGTGCCTCCTTTAGTATCATTGATTCCTCCCAATAGCCTCCCAATAGCTGGCTTCTTTATTGGGGCCGACTGCTGGGGTCTTTTGTTTCCCTTGGAGTTAGGATCCTTTATATGCATGTGTAGACACATCCCTACACCTACCCCTATGTTCACACCTACCTAGACATACCGTGTCTATGCCCACACGCACGTCTACACCAGCCTATGTGTATTTAATAGTTGGCATTTACTTGGTGTCACAGTGTCATGGTGTCCTTTACTGGATTCACACCTTACATGGATTGTGTCCGTTCACTTTCTGCATCTTGTGAGATAGAGTCTATCACTATCCTCAATTTATAGGAAGCCAAAGTTCAGAAAGGTAAAAGCAATTGTCCAAAAGTTCACTGAGAACCAGGATTTGAACCAGGGCTATATACTTTACCTCCAGGCTAAACTGGTAGCCTTCAAACATTTTGTGATGCTGATCCATTGACGCAGAGGGCACACACCCGTGTACATGTGAGTGAATATACACGTGTGTCCATGTGCCCACATGTGCATACATGTGAAACACATGCTTTGGGAAATAACACTTATCCTGACTTCTAATTTCATCTACCCCATTCTATTCTATTCTATTCTACTCTGTCTTTTCCATTCTGTTTTCATTTTATTTTAAATATTTTAGTGCCCACCAGTGGAAAACACGGGCAAAATCATACCTAAACTGTACTAATCACTCCATTGGACAGTACGTGGAGAGCAGATTTCTATCCTAGGATTTGGAACTAATTTCCTCTGATGGCTTTAGGCAAGTGTCTTCACTTCTCTGGGCTTTGTCTTCCTAAAATCTGTTTATAATGGAGTTTTACTATGTGACCCTGGAGGCTGGGCTTATACCTTCCTGCAACAGTTATAAGTCCTTTGCTTCCATGAGTGATACTCTGAAGGTCTCTCTTTGGGGAAGACTTAGGTCAATTGACTTCCCCCAGCCTCATGCTTCATGAGTACATACCTGCACACACATGTGATCTAGGAGACAAACACCGACGGAGGGTTTGGAACGTATTCCCTCTTCCTTCTACAGCGCCCTCAATCATTTCATGCAGAACAGAATGGCAATACATTTTTCATCTTTTAGGGATTTGCTCTGATGTGGAATGGCACATTTTATCATGTAAAATGTTAATTTGATTCCTCTCCCCAGCTTTTTATTTGTCTGCCTCTTTATGTCCTTCCTTTCTCATGCTTTTTGGAAGGGAGAGGAAAGACCACTTCAGTGGAGGTCAGGAGATGGAGGTGGCAGTAAAGGGAGACAGAAAAGGACAGAGGGGAATTGACAGGTCAGAAGAGTGTGTCTGGGCAGAGCAGGATTAGGCTCTGTCTCTTCTCCGCCTCTGAGTCCTGTGTAACTTGAGCCTGGCCCCTGCCCTGTCCAGGTGTGCATGGGATATGAGGGACTTAAACAAGTCCTCATCCCACCTAAACATTCTAGGGTGAGGAGGTTTATGCACCTGAGGCAGGGAGGAGAGAGAACAAGACCTTGGGTGAGCTCACACTCTAAGAAATCCCTGAGGATGAGAATCGCTTAAGTTTTCATAACTCAAGGAACCTGCCATTGTTTCCTTGGATGCATTCAAAGTGTGCTTGTCAAGTGTTGAAGAGTTTCAAAGTAGCCTGTCATAGGAGGGGTCATTTTGTGGACAACTTACATACCAATGCTAAATGTCATAGAATCACTTGAGCAGGTCACCCATGGGCATTTCCTGTTGCTGAAGATGAGGCTCCTTAAGAGAAATGGTTTGCTTAGGTCTCACAGCTTACCAGTGATTCAGGCCTATAGGTGTCCATTATTTCCACAGATCCCAGACCTGGAGATTGGTTGGCCCTCTTTCTCTCTGACTTTGGGTTGAAGAAGTGTAGAGCTTGTATGCTTCATCAAAACTCCATGCATCCCAGGTATAACTCTGGGCCAGGCAAATATGTTTCACCCCTAGAACTCGGTTTATTAGTCATCTTTTCGTTGCCAGAATGAAATACCTGAGGAAGACTAACTTTATAAAGAAGAGAGGTTTATTAAACTCACAGTTTTAGAGTTGAAAGTCTAAGCAGCACAAAGCAGGCTCTGGTGAAGTCCCCTTGGCAGGCCATGGGAGCATATGTGGGGTGGGGGAGGGGAGGATCACATCTCAAAACGAGCCAGAGGTAGGATGGGGGTCATGCTCAGCTTTTATAACAATCCTCTCACAAGTACTAATCAGACAGTGAGTACATCCAGAAATTAATTAAAAACAAACTATGGGTAAATGGCAGAAAGATCAATATAGGGAAGGGAGCCAGGGGTGGGGTGGAGAGAGAAGGAAAAGAAGAGGTACTGGCATCGGAATTAGAAAAAGATATATTCCATGCTTTTGTAATTATGTCAAAATGGATTCTATTGTCATGTATAATTAAAAAGAATCAATGGGGAAAAACTAATCAGAATTCCATGAGAGATCCCTTAATCACTTTTGACCCAGGACCTCCCACTAGGCCCCTCTCAACACGGTCACCCTGGGGACTGAGTTTCCAACACAGGAACCCTTGGAGGAACAACATCCACCTCACAGCCCTGGCTCTCCACAGCACAGCCCCAGGGCCCCCTGGTGAGGGAGCTGATGTCCAGCCCCCGTGAAGACGCCCAGGTTCTGCTGTGAGCTCCCTTCCCCTGTCTGGAACCCCTCTCATGGTATCAGGCCTGGTGCTCTTGCCCTCCATGACCTCTGGGGTAGACAGAGTTCCGGTGGCAGTGGTCTGGAGCTTTGGGTCACAAAGTGTTTTAGTCAGTTTTTTTTTTTTTTTCTGCTGTGACAAAGACCCTGACCAGAACAATTGTAGAGGAGGAAAAGTTTACTTGGAGGCTCGCCGTTTTAGAGGTCTCAGTCCAGAACACTAGGTTCCATTCCATTCGGGGCTCCAGGCGAGGCTGACCATCAAGGCACAAGAGTAGGGCAGAGGGAAGCAGCTCCCACGATGACCAGGAAGCAGAGAGAGCAAGGTCTCCACTCTCCAGATACAAATATATACCCAAAGACACGCCCTCCAGTTCCCACCTCCTCTAGACACCCCGCCTGCCTCTAGTTCCCACTCAGTGAATCCCACCAGGGGATTAACTCACTGACTGGGTTAAGGCTCTCACCACCCAGTCATTTCCCTCTGAACCCTCTCACACTGCCTCACCTGAGAGCCTTTGGGGGACACCTCACATCCAAGCCAAAACACACGGGAAGCAGAATACCTTTCATCTGTGTCTAGACCCTTCTGTGCTCCAGCCCCATCAGAAGCTACCCGAAGCTTAGTTTTCTAATTGGCTACTGATTTCATATGCTGAAGGGCCTTCAAGGGGTCACCCTGATGGCTCTACCCAGAGAAGACCAGACCTGTTCAGTGGCCACAGCCTCCGAGGGCACAGGAGGATGAGATGCTGCGGCCTCTGCGGTCCTGTTCCCATCTGCATTCTGTTCCCCTCTTCCTCACAGCAGGGGCTGGTGCTGCCTCTGTCAGGGTCAGAGAATCCTCTGGCAAGAGAAGGAGGATCACAGATTGTCACACTTGGGAGCAACAACAGCCTGCACCTGTGGAGGTCCTGAGCGCTGCTGTGTCGGGGGCACCCACTACGTGTCAGCAACTTTTGGGGGACACCTCCCACCCGAGCCTTTACACAAAGGAAAATTTTGTGTTAAAATTTAAAATTAAAACCCATCCTTAAAGTGCAGTAACCTCTGTCTCAGGAGCAAGACCCAGACCTGAGAAGTGGGATACCTGTGTGCTCCTGTCCATCTGATCCGTGATGAACTGATCTTCTCTCTCCCAGTTAATTAGGGAGAATAGGGCTGGGACCTGCTTACCTCTGTGATCAGGAGGACACTTGGAGATCTCTGAGTGCCTTAGAGGAAGGAGAATCAACTGAAGAAAGCTTTCCTACAGGTGCAGTAGGAGAAGCAGTGGTGCTGGCTTGAGCAGGCAGGGGTCCGAGCACCTACTTCAGGTAAAGAAATCCATGTTTTCTTATGCAGGAGAGATGCCTGTCGGTTAATGGGGCAGGAGGACACGGTCCCTTGCAATCTGGCCCTTCCCCATGTGAGCCCATGGGAAGGGAACTGGCACAGGGAGATGGAGCCCCATCGCCACCTTGTCTCCTGGAAACATAAACCTGGCTCTCAGAAAGTGAGGACTCTGTGGCTCCAGGTGCCCTGTCACTTTCTCCCACCAGGAGCCCATGGTGGACATGGGGGACATTTCCTCAGACAGTCCCGTCCCAATATTGAGGTCACTCATAGCTACCAAGTGGAAAGAACATGTCCCAGCATGACCCTTGCTGACCTAAGCTTTGTGCTGCTGCTCTTCCCATCCAGGGGCCCAGCTGCCCGCGCCCCTGGCCTCACCCCTGCCTAGCATGGGGCCAGCGCTCGGCTGATTCTGTTTGTTTCCTGGAATCAAAATGAGTAGGGGTATATTTTTCCATCTTCTAAGATCTTCTCTCTAGCAGTCAGAGAAATGCAAATCAAAACCACCCTAAGATACCATCTCACTCCAGTAAGATTGGCAGCCATTATGAAGTCAAACAACAACAAGTGCTGGTGAGGATGTGGGGAAAAGGGTACACTTGTACATTGCTGGTGGGACTGCAAACTGGTGCAGCCAATCTGGAAAACAGTATGGAGACTCCTGGGAAAGCTGGGAATGGAACCACCATTTGACCCAGCTATTGCCCTTCTTGGACTTTTCCCAGAAGACCTTAAAAGAGCGTACTACAGGGATACTGCTACATCGATGTTCATAGCAGCACAATTCACAATTGCTAGACTGTGGAACCAACCCTGATGCCCTTCAATAGATGAATGGATAAAAAAAATGTGGCATTTATACACCATGGAGTATTACACAGCACTAAAAAATGACAAAATCATAGAATTTGCAGGGAAATGGATGGCACTAGAGCAGATTATGCTTAGTGAAGCTAGCCAATCCCTAAAAAACAAATACCAAATGTCTTCTTTGATATAATGAGAGCAACTAAGAACAGAGCAGGGAGGAAGAGCAGGAAGAAAAGATTAACATTAAACAGATACATGAGGTGGGATGGAAAGGGAGAGAAAAGGGAAATTGCATGGTAATGGAGGGAGACCCTCATTGTTATACAAAATTACATATAAGAGGTTGTGAGGGGAATGGGAAAATAAACAAGGAGAGATATGAATTACAGTGGATGGGGTAGAGAGAGAAGATGGGAGGGGAGGGAGGGGGGATGGTAGAGGATAGGAAAGGTAGCAGAATACAACAGTTACTAATAGGGCATTATGTAAAAATGTGGATGTGTAACCGATGTGATTCTGCAATCTGTATTTGGGGTAAAATTGGGAGTTCATAACCAACTGGAATCTAATGTATGAAATATGATATGTCAAGAGCTTTATAATGTTTTGAACAACCAATAAAAAAAATTAAAAAAAAAATAAATAAATAAAAAAAAAAACCCAAAATGAGTAGGGGTTGAGGAGGAAAGGAAAAGGAAAATACTTAGCATTTTATTCTATAAAAACTCATGTTCACCGGGTGGAGTGCTGCACTCCTGTAATCCCAGAGGCTCAGGAGGCTGAGTATCATGAGTTCAAAGCCAGACTCAGCAAAAGCCAGGTGCTAAGCAACTCAGTGAGACCCTGTCTCTAAATAAAATACAAAATAGGGGGGCTGGGGTTGTGGATCAGTGGTAGAGGGCTCACCTAGCATGTGTGAGGCCCTGGGTTCGGTCCTCAGTACCACATAAAAATAAATAAATAAAGATATTGTGTCCAACTACAACTAAAAAAATAAATATTAAAAAAAATTTTGAAAACTTAAAAAAAAATACAAAATAGGGCTGGGGATGTGGCTTCTTGGTCAAGTGCCCCTGAGTTCGATCCCTAGTACCCTGCCCCTACCACCGTAATAAAACACAAAAAAACAAAAAACTAAAAAACTCCAAAAAGCCTTCATGTTCTATCAAAATCCTTGAAAAAAACTCAGAATTTACACCCTTCTTTTTTTAGGCCCACAGTTTGGTTTTCTTTATGTCTCTAACCTTTTCATTCGAGGCCTGAGTGGAGCAGGCTAATTGGCATCTTGAAGACCGGGTGAAGGGTAGTGGAGGTGACTGCCTCCCACCATACACAGGAGGAACCAGAGTAAGAAACAGAGAAGTCCTGAGCATGTCTAGTGCCCCTGGGACTCAGGAGATGGACGGCATGTGTTCTCCTCCATTGCTTGACCCCCAGTTAAAAAAAAAAAAAAATCACTAGATTTTATTGCTTGTGAGTGGTCAGCCCTGGGCAGGGCACTTTCCCTGCCCACTCCTGTTTCCTTGACTTTCCTTATTTCCTTGATTAAGTCGCCCACCTCTGCTGACTTTCTGTGAGAAACACATGAGGTTTGAGGGATGTTTAGGGGTCAACCAGGTTCTCCCCTGGGGTTCCACTACCTTCCCCAGACCACCAGAGTTTGCTCATTTCCAAAGCCTTGGTCTCCTCTTGATTGGCAGTCCTACGGGGGGCAGGGCAGAACCTGTGAAACCAGCCTGCCCTGTGCTGGAGGCCTGGCTTGGTCCCATGTCAGCTGTGAGTCTCTGGACTAGTTTCCTAGCCAGTCTGACCCTCAGTTTCCTGATGTGAAAATTTGGAATAATGATTCTCACCTCCCAGAGGTGCCTGGAGGATCGGCTGAGATGGGACAAGGATACAAACACCAGCTCAGCTTGGCCCTGGCCCCGCCTATCCTGACCCCCACCCACTCATGGGCCCCCAAAGGGGTCCTTTTCCTTCTGTTCCACTGCTCAGGCCTGTTGCTACTCCTTGGCAATTTTCTAGTAAGGAATCCTTGCCTCTTTCACTGTGGGGAGTGAAATGGAGGAACAGATCCCAAGCCTTTCTTCCCCAAAGGTGACATGACTTGGGATCCCCACTGCAGGGACAGCAGAAAAAGGGAGCCCACTCTAGTTTCACCCTTCGCACTCAGCATGAGCATACAGGACTTGCATTTATGACCTTTCTGCACCTCTTACCTCTATGGTGACCTGTGAGGTAGACGGATCCTGACAGAGCCATTTAGTATTCTGTTCAGCCCAGACACCCAAGGTGACTTTGTAGGCGGCGCCAAACCAACTGGTGTTGTCTGAACACGCGACACATCTGCCCCCTAGTGGCCATAGATGGAAAGGCATTGGCTGCTCCCAGCTAAGCTTGTTAAGACTGAATGATGGCAAGTGTGTGTGTGTGTGTGTGTGTGTGTGTGTGTGTGTGTGTGTAGGGGGCTGGGTGACATGAACATTCACCAGGATAGATCTTATATGGTGGGAGGGAGGGTTGTTACCTGAATTCCCAGCAGCATGACCCAGCACAAATCCAAGGTAAGACAATAAATAGAGTCATCACCTGGATTCATTCAATCAGCAAGCTTTACTGGAGTGTCTACCAAGTATGTGTGGTTCTAGGTAGTGGGATCATGTGGGTGATCATGTCAGGCAATAGGAGTGGGTCTCAGCAAGATGGTGATGATGACTTTGCAGCACTCTTTCCGTCACTGAAACATGAATTTGAACAATCATCCAGGCACAGAAATTCCTTCACAAGAGCTAAAAATCCAGGTGAGGGATTACAGGACCTGGATAGGAAGAGACACATTGAAAAGGAAGGGAAGTTGGGTTCACATTATCTTGTAACCTCTCCATAGCTTGTGCCATTCAGTGTGGAGAGAGGTGCCCTGCGTGTGGGGGAAGGAGAGCCCCAGTCAGTCCCAGTGCTGGACAGTTCCTGCTGATCCAGCCTCAGGAGTTTGACAGAAGGGCTGAGTGGATATTTAAAAAGCAGGATCCAACAGTATGGTTCCTACAAGAGACTCACTTCAGTCTTGAGGATACACAACTGGCTGAAAGCGAAGAAATGGAAAAGGATGTTCCAAGGAAATAGTAACCAAAAGAGAGCAGAAGTGAGTGCACTTACATTGGAGAAAACAGACTTTAAGACAAAAACTGTGCAAGAGAAAAAAAAAGTCATTATAGAATGATAAAGTCATAAATATATGTGCCCAACATTGGAGTCACTAAATATATAAAGAATATATTAGCAGAATAGAATAATAATAATAATAATAATAAGAAGAAGAATAATAGCAATAATAATAGGAGACCTCAACTCTCCAGTTTCAATAATGGATAGAATATCCAGACAGAAAATCAATAAAGAAAGCATGGAGTTAACATTAGATCAAATGGACCTAGCAGACTCAGAGCGTTCTATTCAACCACAGCAGAACACATATTCTTTTCTAGTGCACACAGAACATTCTCCAGGATAGATCATATATGAGACCACAAAACAATTCTTAACCCATTTAGGAAGATTGAAATCCTATCACGTATTTTTCCCAACCACATTGGAATGAAACTAGAAGTCAATAATGGCAGAAAAGTTCAAGTCCACAAACGTGGAAATCAAAAGATGTCCTTTTGGACAACCAGTGGGGCAAAGAAGAAATCAAAAGGAGGTCTGGGGGTGTGGCTCAGGGATGGCGCTTGACTAGTGAGGACAGGGTTTGATTCTAAGCACTGCACATCCAAAGATAAATAGGTAAATAATTTAAAAAGGGAAATCAAAAGGGGAATAAAAATGATATTTTAAGACAAAGAAAATAAAAACAGAACACACCAAAACTTATGAGATGCAACAAAAGCATTTCTAAGAAGGAAATTTGTAATGATCATGTTAAGAAAAAGAAAGATCACTAACAAGCAACTTAATCATACACCTACAGAAACAAGGAAAAAGAGAAAAACCAAGCCCAAAGTTAGCAGAAGGAAGGAAATAATAAATATCAGAAAAGAGAAAATTGAAAAAACTAGAAAACAATGGGAAAGAACAATGAAGCTAAGATTTGGTTGTTTGAAAAGATAAAGGAAGTAGATGAAACTTTAGCTAGCCTAAGAATAAAAGGGAGAAGTCCCGAGTAAATAAAACACTTAGGAATAAATTTAACCAAGGAAGTGAAGGATCTGTATTCTGAAAATTATTATAAAACACAAATGGGAAAGTGTCCTGTGTCATTGGAAGTAATAATACCATGAAAACTGTCTCCATCACCCAAAGTGATCTACAGATCCAATGGGATTACATCAAACTAAAAAAAAATTCTGCACAGAAAAAAAAATAAACAACAACAAAACAAAATTAAAAAAAAAACAACCAACAGAGTGAAAGAGACAACCTGAAAAATAAAGGAAAATATTTCTAAAGCGGACGTTTAATAATGGGTTAGTATCTAAAATATAAAAGGAATGAAACAACTCAATAGTAAGAAAACATAATCTGATTAAAAATTGAGCACAGAACCTTATTAGATATTTCTCAAAAGAAGACCTACAGTAGCCAAGAGATCAATGAACAACAACAACAAAAAGGTCAACATCACTAATCATCAGAGATTTGCAAATCAAAACCACATGAGTTATCACCTCCCATCTACGAGAATGGCCATCATCAAAGACAGAAACTAACAAAATTGGAGTGGACACAGAGAGAAGGGAACCCTTGGGTCCTGTTGGTGAGAATGCAAATTGGTACAACTATCATGGAGAACACTATGGAGTTTCTTCAAAAGATTAAAGCCAGAACTATCATATGATCCACAATCCAATTTTAGGTTTATAGCCAAAGGAAATGATGACAAAGAGAGATGTCCACTCCTATGTCCTTTGCAGCTTTATTCATATTAGTGAAGATATGGAATCAACCGAGTGTCCATCAATAGATGAAAGGATTAAGACAGTGTTGTGTGCATGGTGTGTGTGTGTGTATCTGTGTGTGTGTGTGTGTGTGTACATACAATGGAATATTTTTCAGTCTTAAAAAGAAGGGACATACTGACACTCGATACAACATGGATGGACTTTGAGGACATTTGCTAAGTGAAATAAGCCAGGTATTAAAGGGTAAGCACCATGTGGTTCCAACTAGGTGAAGTACCTGGAGTAATCAAGTTCATAGAGCAGAAAGCAGAACGGTGGGAGGCTGGGGGAGGAGGACACAGAGGATTGCATTTTAATGGGTACTTTTTAGGGAGGGAGAGAAAGTTCTGGTGCTAAGCAGCCCTGGCTTGGCCATAGGAAGAAGATGGCAATGCAGCTCCTGCTCAGAAGGACCCTGTGACGCTACTCGCCCTGTAGCCCTGTTGAGGCCCTCTGTGAACGTGGGTTTTCTGGGTTGTCCCTAGGCAACCTGACTAAGCCCCCAGCATCCCTGGGCCACATGCACCGGTGTCCCCATCCAGCTTGCCCTCCTCAGACATGTGTTGATAGTGTTGTCCACCAAAGCAACTGGGACCTTGGTGAAGATGAGATCATCCCACCTCTTCCGTACGTACCTAACAGATCTCAGCAGTTAGCCTGCTGCTGCCTCTACACACAGGTGACACACGAGAGGACAGCCACTCAGTGCTCCGAAACTTTGCTCTCTTGGTTGGTAGGTGTGGAGTCAACAAATGCTTCCCTGATGCAAGACAGCCTGGAGCCTAGAGCAGCTCACCTGTTCTAGACGCTTCCTTTCATCGGTAGACACTGAGGCCCTGAACAGGATCTCCCCAGGACTGCTGGGTATGTGAGTGACAAACCTGGGGCCCAGTCCTTCTGGCCCATGCTCCCTTCACACCATGGGCCTGCTCCTGTTCCACCAGCCAGGGTTGTAGGGACCCAAGTCCACAGACGAGCCCAAACTTTGTTCTTGGTGCTGAACTCCTTTATTCCCCAGATTGGTCTTTAGGAAATACTCAAAAATGATAAAGTGACTTTATTGGTAGTTTTCCTTCTGTTCTCAATTCAGTACAATAAACAGCCAAATAAAACAAGAATAAATAAAATAAATAGGCAGGAGAAAATCATAATAATCAGAACATTTCTCAACGGTAAAGTGTCAGTGATGGAAGAAGTGAGTCATGTTCTAGAGAATTCCGCCAGCGAGTATTTCCTCTCACTCTTCAGATGGAGCAACGGAGCCAGAGAGGCACTCGAGGGGTGGCTGTGAGGAAAGAGAAGCAATCATTTAGCACATTTATCTAAAACCACACACACCGGTCCACGTTATCCTATTCACCAGAGCCACCAGTGTATGCTTCATCCCTCTGTAAATGTCTGTCTCTGCAGCACAGAGCAACAGTTCCCGGAATTGCATCCAACGTGCCTTGAGGATAATCATAGTTGTGGTTTCAGAGATGCTCCAATAGCATTTATATAATACTGTGAAATTTACAGGAGAAAATATTCCTTTTGGACAGTGATTTATCAGACAGAGTGACAGGATTTGGAGATGTGGGAGTGAGTTCAAATAATAAAGAAACATCTCATTGGGCATTTTCTTGGTCCAGCCCTTGGGAGAAACTTGCCAGTCTGTGTGGCAATGCACTGAGAGCCCCAGGACCTTCCCTCGTGATTGAGGACAGGCCTGGGGAGAAGGGCCATTCAGGATTCTGAGCTAATCTGATTATCCAACGCATGGGAGGGGTGTTAGAGAGAATGAGTGCTTTCTCTCTCCTTCCAACTTGCACCAAGTGCTAGTTTTGTGAGCTGACTGGCTCCAAGATCCCCTGGAAGGGACTCCGAGACTTGAGCTTCATTGGGGTCTGTTGAGTCCTGTTTCGGGGACAGTGCTGCGAGCCTGTGCCCAGGAACAGAGAGCTCTCCCTGCCCTCCTAGTGCAGCCCCCACTGTGCCCTGTGCTTTGGGTTCAGGGAAGACATTTTTAATTCATGAACCATAAAGATCATCTTTTATAGTATGTAATTCAGTGGCTTTTTGTATATTCGGATTGATGTGACCATCATCACTACCCAATACTAGAACGTCTTCATCACTTCAAAAACAAACCTCATGCCCACTAGCAGTCACACCCAGTTTCCTCCCTTCTTCTTCCCTCCAGTTCCTGGCAACCACTAATCTACTTTCTGTCTCTTTAGATCTGTTCATTCTGGACACTTTGTATAAATGGAATCATATAATATGTGATTTTTGTGGTTGACTTCTTTCATTTAGCAGAGTATTTTCCAAGTTCATCCATATGGTAGCATGTATCAGCTCTTCATTCCTTTTTAATGACT